CTAGAACTGCCAGATCGAGAAATGCCAGTGTCTGAGGGAGGAGGTCCGTGTGAAAAGAACATGATAGCTGATGGGTGTAGAAGTTGATGCATGGTGGGGCTAGCAAACAAAAGTAGGATGTAGGAAAGTCCAGCTGCCACAGAGCATTGAGAGTAGTCAAGATTTTAATCTTGATTTTTGACCAAAGACAAGCACGGCCACATCTATCCACTTCTATGATTTCCATGTAATAGATTATTTTTTAGGATCAAATACCAATTCTCAAGTTTCCCAGTCCAGTTTTACAACGTCCTTCATCAATGGAGAATAAGACATTAGGAATCTAAATTACTCTATTTTACACAATCTACTTTTGATATTTCAGAACTGTTATTTCATCTCTATTAATGCCAACTCTATTTCATATTTTTCTTTTTCTTAATCGATGCTGGATTTTTATAAAATCAAAATTATATACTCCTATAGAAAATGCTTATTAATTTAAGGTAAAATAACACATGGTATATAATAAACGATCACGTCTATAGCATAATATTGTTCTATTAGGAAGATATTCTAGATTCAAAAAGAAGCACTGCCTCTTGTTAAAGGAGAAATTTGAGAAAAGAGGTAAATTTGATTTTTATACTAACGTTAAGTAAAAGCTATTTTCCATAAAGCTCTGCTTTTTTCCACAGCCCAAGTTATTCTGAATGCAGAAGAACCAACTGTACACATCAGGGAATAGTTGTAGATTTTCATCTTCATGACATTTATGCCAAAGTAGCATGCCTTTGTTATACCAAAACTCCTTAATGACCTTTGATTCTCTGATTTTTCATATAGGTTCCAATTGGATTCTCCACATTATTAGTGAATTAATATTTGCTGATCCTAAAAAAAAGTATGAATATCCAGAGTTCCCAGTTCTTGAATGTGGGGACCCAGAAAAATATCAGGTTGGTACAAAACAGCCTTTAAATTTACAGTAAATGCTCATAGAAAGGTTTCTTCCCTCTGGACAATTTTTTTAGTTTTGAGTTCGGAAAATACAACACAGATACATATGCAATTTATTGTGTGCTTACCATGTAATCCTAGCACTTTTCAAGAATTATCTCCTTTTACTGCAAAATAATATTATCACCATTTTACAAATAATTAAATTATAAGAGTGTGTGTGAAGGTTATAACAGTCATCCATCCTACCTGTTATTACTTGCCTTACCACATGTTAAAACTCACCTTATCAATATAACTAACTGGGGCTTGGATGTCACCCAGGATGCTGGGCTCCACGACAGGGAAGGCAAGAACAGGGTGAGAGGAAGGATCTGCTTCAGGACTTCAGTGCTTGTACAGAACAGGCAAGAGGAGGACCACTCCCTCCACACCTAGACACACCAGAAATGCATCTGGGACTGTATCCAAGGGGGAACCACAGTCTCCATGAAACTTTCAGACTTGTTCACCACCAAGACTGCCAACAGGCAGACAGAAGAACTCAGTTTCTAAAAAAGTCACTTAGGGAGTTAGGAAACAGTATCTGAAAAGAGACTGAGACACTTGGCATGATGACAAATACAAACTTAAAAGTTGGATCCTAGTAGAAGAAAACTCATTTCCATGGATTGGGACAAAGCAACAGAAAAATGCATTGTAAATGAGGTGTTCAAGGACTTGGGAGTGGGGTAGGGAGTTAAGTGCTGACCCCTGGCTCTGGTTGGCTGCAACCTCAGAAGGCATCAGAGCATCAGAGAACAGCCACATTAGGGCCTGGAGGTCATAAGTACTGCAGAGGTAGGCTCGGCCAGGACCGGCTCAGGACGAGTGCACAAGTTTTAAGAGGCTTTTACCTAGGTAAGAAATGGACAGGCTAATGAACAGCCTCATTGATTTCTGCTATCCAGGCCACTGGATAACTTTTTCTCTAAAGAGTGTTTAGCATCACCTTTAAAGATAATGCTAACATTTATCTAGCTTTCCAATTTCTCTTTTAAAAATGTGTTACCCTGTGGGTCACAGGTGATCTTACCTGTTGTTACTCACCCTACCAAGATAACCACTATTATTTTATTTGCCTGTGTTGTCACCCATCAGAGATAAACAGGTTTCCCTTAAGATTGGAACAGGGTTTGGTATGCTGGCTTATACATTTTTATGTTGTTTATATGATTGTTTCTCCATTTTGATTTCCAAACAAAGCTTTATAATACAAACCATTTGTAAGGAGGGAACTTCCTGGGTTATTGCTTACTGACACTGGGAAGAATTTTTATTCCTGACCAAGATTTTGACATGCCAAGACCTGACTCTGAGCTTGAGCACCCAGTACTCTTGGAACCTCTCCTTCACCTCATGGAAACTTGGTACTCCTGCTCCTTGGCCAGGTTTCTTTCTGTTTCACCAAGTACTTCAGTGTGAAGGTAAAACAAAGCCCTGCTTCTGTCTTCGGGTGCTCGCATTCTAAATCTTAGCTCTAATTATTAAACAAAAAGTTGTGCTTTCCAGCCTTGGTAAAAAGATCCAGATGATTTTTAAAGCCAAAGAATTCTTCTAGAAGCATCTAAATTAGCATTAAAATGTTCTACAAGGTGAGTGAAACATAGGATTCTAGCTCCAGGGTTCTGGAAAATGTTTTAACTCGGTACAGTATTTTGGGTTTTGAATTTTTTTGATATCTATAATGTATCAAAAATGTTTTTTTCTCTTTGGGTATTTTTAAAGGCACATTTTGTATTTTAACTGCTATTTTATCATACACAAAAATACTTTTCTATGCAATATGCCTTTTATTTTAAAATGGAAGTCAGTGAGAAGATGAGCATCACTTATTCATTTTACAAAAAAATTTCTAAAATACACGTATTTTCTCAAGATATATCTATATCTAGTCTCTACATTGCTTACAGTTTCGCTGTATCACACATTTTCACAAACATACTGTTTGTTTATCTAGCTTTGTTACAATTAACTTCCATTTTCCCCCTGGATATTTTTTTAATCCTTCTAGGAACTTTACCATTTCTCACATGTCTTTAAGTGATTTTTGGCTTTTCAGTTTAGTAGAAACGGCACTCCTATCGCTTAATCTGAAAATTACCATCTGTGTGGTTTTGCACAAAGTACTTAAAACCTCAAAGCCTACTGTTAATCTCTAAAATGGGGGTTACAATATCTACCTGAGAAGATTGTTGTGAATGAATGTAAAAGCACTTCCAAAGCTAAAATTGTAATTCGATGTAAATCAAGTATCATGATTACTAATCAATCACCACTTGGACCCATAGCATTGATTTTAATGTTTTTCAAAGTCATTTTTTGCTCCTTTGCTTGAGTTGGGAATCTCCACTAAATTTTTACAGAACACTTGGCTAAATGTCTAAACACCATTTTATCATTTGAAATGATGTGACCAAGCAGTGAGTGACCTCTGCAAGCATGGAAATGAGTTTTTGAAGCTTTTACCCCTGACATAATATGTACTTGAGATAAAATCCTTCACCATAGCAGATTAAACAGGTAACTTCATTTTTTAATGAAGTTAATTTTTTAAATTACCAGTAGAAGTAGATTACAAAAAAAAAAAATCAACCATGGAGTCCTTATGACAAGAATTTCTTCTGTAAATTATTTCTCAGATATTTAAGTGACTCTGGGCACTTTCAGGTTCTGTTGGGATATTTGATTGTGTGGAATTTTATTGGTAAAAAAAAAGATCTAGATGTTAAACATGGACTTGGAGGAGCTATAAAGACGTGAACATTTCTGTTAATGACTTTGAATGAAGAAAATATCTGCATTAAGTGAAAGAGTAGGTTGAAAATTTTGAGCTTCTTGAAGAAAATGAATTTGGTATGGTTGTGAAAAAAGGAAAAAGACCAAAAAAAAAAAAAAAAAGATTATGCAGTGGGAGGCAGGATTCAAGAAGGAAGTTCAAAAAGAAGTTATAAATTACTTACGATTCACAATTCCTCATCCCCACAAAGTAAGAAAATAGAAATAAAAACTGGAGGAGAATGTAGAAAAGGAGAAGATACAGTAACAATAACAATTTAAACTGCCATTCAGGTACTAAACTTAGGAGTAATTCACTATACACACACACAACACGTATGCTTTCACCTTATTGTATATATTTTTAAGAGAATGAAAGTTACCATCGCCAAGGATTTTGGCAACTCACCTCCATTACGACAAATTACCCAGGTCCATCTTCAAGAATAAAGCCAAGGTGAGTGTGTCCTTTCCTACTGGCATTTCAGTTTGTAGTTTTAAAAGTATAAATATTGGCTTTCTGAGGTTGAGATTGCTACTCAGCACAGAATTTTAATAAATGATGTGTGCGATTTGGTGTTTCTTTTGTTGCTGTTCCTTTCTACAGATGTATTTGTTACATTTGCATTCAAATCAAATGCGTTTTCAGCCAAGACAGAAAACATATACATAGAGTGGAACCTACTTCAAAACCTGTTTTTAGAGTGAATAGATTTCAGCATTAGGATATTTAGAGTGTTTAACAAAAGGATACAACCCAGGAAAATGAGCAAAAATTGTTCCTTCAGTTCTTTCTGGTGAGCACTATTTACCTGAGGTCCAAACCTATTATATTTCTGAATTTCACATGCAATATCAAACTTCATATCAAGCATACCTAAGTACAGGTGCTTTGGCTGCTCTTATCATTCGTTTGAAAATCTTGTTTCATTAACCAGTTTTGATCAATTTTCATAATTAGTAGTTTTGACCCAATCCCTTTTTTTGTTTTCTGTCACCTTGTTTCCTCTCCATTCCTTATTCTCTGTCTCCAGAGGAAACAATTAGAATTAATTAAAATAAAATTTTAAACTCCTGAGCTCCACAAGCAAGGAGGACAGTGCAGTAACAGCAAAGAAGGATAAAGGAAGAAAACAGTTAAGATAACTACACTGGTAAGAGGAAGAAGGGGAAATAACAGAGGAAGGAAGAATAGGAAGTGGAGGCTTAGAATTAGCAGCCTCCCTGGTACAAGAATTCTAGGAGCAGAATTGGAAAATGCCTTGAAGGTTGCCTGCTCTAAGCCCCATTAGGTGTTTGAATGCCACCAAGTGGCTGTCTGGACCACTCCACACCTCCAATTGTAAGAGAATCCTCTATCCCCTCTGCCAGCTGCAGACAGCTCTGTAAAATGGTTTTTCTTTACACTGAGAATTTCCCAAATCAGAAAGATCGCTTTAACCTATAATTTCCCGAGTTTAATACAGTTCAGTAGAATCACAAATCTCAGTGACTCTTTTTTTTCTCCCTTAATTATTCCATAAGACACAGAGCTAAAGTAACGTAGAAAGCATTTAGATTTGGAGCATGCAGGCTTCTGAACAAAGCTTTACGTTTGCAAGAACAGCAGGGCAAGAGAAAAGGGAAAGCCAAGGTAGCAGGCTGGTGCTGAGCATCTGTCCACACACCCCAGCCTGCTGGCCCTCACCATTCAAATTTATGTCTGTAAAATTATAAATTGCTACGAGCCAGGGCAACTACTGAGTGCTAATCAGAGCAGCAAATATAAGACCCTAAGTGACAAGGATCTGCTGTCTTTGGATTGGGGCAGAGGTGAGTTTTAGAGCTGAACAAAGGCACAGACGCAGCCCACTCATTTCTATTCCACTGTCTCCTGTTAGCGTTAGCTCACGTCTTTAGACTCATGAGGTATTTTGGGATCCTGATTTCCTCTCAGTGTCATGTCATCTACAAACTTGATAAATACAGCTTCTACATCTTTACCTAAAATCACTCATTAAAACGTCGACAGTGGTCTAGCCAGGACAGTGGAAATGCCAGTAAAACCCCCGGGCAGGTTTACATTAGGGATTCAGCCTCCTATGCATCTGAATACTCAAGTCAGGTTTACACGCCTAACTGCTTCCGCTTCCAGCTTAACCTCCTTCCACTTTGCAGAGGAAGTCAGAAGCAACAAATCTACTAAGTTAGAAACTATGTTCAAGGAGAACCTGGCATCAGTCAGAAGCGACTTGTTCTTAGAGAACCCATGTTGCCCTGTGGTGGTTGCTAGTTCCTCTTTTATGTGACCCCCCAAATCATCCATTTAGTCAATTTCAAAAACTTCTCCCAAATGGAGGTTGTGTTCACAAATCTGCAAAACCCAGACCTTGCACCTTTCGGAAAGGGGAGGGATGGCTGCCTGTTTTAAGCCTTCTGAACTTCTGTGCATTATCTCCACTTTCTCAGAGGTTACTAAGAGTGCTCAATACTAGTCTCCAGTTTCCTCAGTTCTTGAAAAAGAGATCTTCAGGCCAGAGGTGGTAGACCCACTTGGAGCAGCCAGGCGGTCTACTTGGTTCTCTTGGGTTTCAATTTGCTTTTTTTTTCAAATTGAAGTATAGTTGATTTACAATATTGTTTTAGTTCAGGTGTATCAGTTTGCTCTTTACACTTTTCCCCCCACACTTTTCACTCAGAAAAATGAATCCATGCCTCCTCAGAGCAGACAGATGTAACATGGGAAGTCAGAGGTTCTGCTTTCTCCACATCACCCATCACACCTGAAGCCTGCCCTTCTCTGCTCTTCTCCCACCAAACTCTAAACATTATTTTTGTTGTCCTTAAAGTTGTTTGCAATTTTTGCTTTTGGGAGGAGAGTTAACTTTTCAGATCACGCTCTCGTGAACTTGCTCTTTATTCCTTTTTACATTGTCTACATACAACTTTTTACTGTCTAAACTCATAAGCGTAAGTTCTCTGCAGTAACATTAGTTTTCTTTTTCTTCTTTTCTTCTCCTTTCTTCCCAGACTTCCCCATCTGCCACCTCCTGTTCCTCAATTTCTTTCTTTCTCTATACACTAATCAAGTTAGGTGGTCTAAAATATGGCATAATACTCATCCTTTCACTCTTCCAAAGTACAAAACTTAAACCTAAACAACTTAATTTTCTCTCCTTAGATATTGGTGGTATTTCAAAATCCTAAAGACACAGCAGTATCTTTTTTCCATTTCCATAATGATGTCCCTGATATTCCAAGCTATGGCTCTTGGGATGAATTCTTCAGACAGTTCATGAAAGGACAAGGTATGGCTGTTGGTAAAAGAATCCTTCTCACGTCAACAGATGATCACATAAACACAGAAACTCAAATGTGTTTTAGGATAAAGAAAGAAAGGAGATTAAGGTAGAACCGGGAATCAGAAAGTTACGAAGTTTTCTGTGCATCAAACGATACATTACTATTTTAAAAAATAATTTGGAGAATTCATACGTTGACTATGAGTATTAAATAACCATTGAACAAAGGACAAACAAAAAAGCTTGTAACAGATTCATGTACAAAAGCATTTCTAGTTAACGTCCCATAAGCCTCAGTATAACACAATTACAAAAACCAAAAAATACCACGACAATGAGCAACTACACCGAAGATACTTGTTTGCCAGAAAGGAAATAAGTTTTTGTTACACCGTGTTGATGTTTTACCTTTGGTTATTGATAACTATAATTTTATAAGTGCCTACAAATATACATACATACTTCATTCAAGACTGTAACAAACTATGAATAAGGCAGTATTTACCAGCAGAAAATTTAAATCATTTGCCAATGGTCCCAATGCTTGTAAGTGGCAGGGACTCTACTTCCACGGGTAGAGTGACCAGAAATTAATAAGTGCCTCCTTTCACAGTGGCTCTGTTGAGTCTTTATGGTGTGGTACAGGGAAGAATTAATGCCAAATGACTCTAGAGAAGAAGTTGTTACCAAGTCCCTCTAAAAGGACGGACCACTTTTAAAGTTGATCAGCACAGCAATGCCACACCATTCCACATGCATGGACACTGGATACAACACTGAGTCCTTAACAAAGGTTAAATATGGGGATTGGAATGTAAGGGAGATAAACGCATGCATAGAAGGTGCTTACGAAGCACTGGTAAGAAAGCTTTGGTTTGTCTAGTAACCATTCACTAAGGCTGAATGGAGGCAGTTAAAGCAAGTCTGAAACATTACCCCATTAATAACACAAGAGAACACTCAATGATGAGAAACCCATCATCATTGGTTCAGCAGCCCAGTGATGTCAGGCCTGCTCCTCTGACATTCCTTTGGCCTCTCCTTCATGCTTTTTGCAACATTCTCTCAACTTGGCTATTGTCCCTCTGAGCATCACCTTCACATCATGAGGAAGGCTCATCAAGACAGCAACCGTTTGCAAGAAACCTTCCAGCAGACCCCTGCGTGTGTCTCACTGGCCAGAATCATGTCATATGACCAACCACAGTCCTAAGGGAGGCAGAAAAGTAGAAAACAGACTTCTCTGATTGGTTTAGACCCAATTAATCAGAGTTTGGTTAGCAACAAAGAAAGGGGTGCATTGGATATTGGGTAGGAAACCTACAATATTTTCCACAATAAATAAGGTATGTAGAAACTGCCTGGCTCAAAGCATGGGCTTCATGATAATGATGTT